GAAGGGTCTAGGCCCGAAACATCAGCCTTTCTGCTCCTATGATGCTGCTTGGCCTGCTGTGTTCATCCAGCTCTGCACCTTGTTGTATGTGATAATAAGGCCTGGTGTGTGGGAACTGTGGTAAGGACAGGAGAGAGCTCAAACCTTAAAGTTGTTGAATTCAATATTAAGTCCAGAAAGCTGCATCTTCAGCTGCTTCGCTAGTGACCTTCCCTCCATCAGAGAGTCAGAAATAGGGGCATTTGCTGATGATTGAGCAATGTTTAGCTTCGTTTGCAACTTTTCAGATACTGATGCAGTTCACGTCCAAATAAGCCACACCTGGACAGTATCCAGGTTTGGGCTGCCAAGAAGATAGTAACATTCGTGTCACGCAAGTGCAGGCAATGACCATCTCCAGTAAGAGGCCTAACCATTGCCGCTTTTGACGTTCTGTAGCTATCAGTGAATCCCAGGAAGTTACTATTAACCAGAAACTGATCTGGACTAGCCATATTAACAATGTGGCTGCAACAACAGATCAGAGGCTAGGAATTGTGCAAAGAATACCTCCTGATCTCTCAGAGCCTGGCTACTATCTCCAAGGCACCAGTCAGAAGTGTGGTGAAAACTCCTTCCTTGCCTGGATGGGTGCAGTTCCAACACTATTCAAGAAGCTCAATAGCATCCAGCACAAAGCAATCTACTTAATTGGCACCATATCCACAAACAGTCCCTCCCTCCACCATCAAAGATAAGTAGCAGCAGTGTGTACTGTCTACAAGATGCAGTGCAGAAATTCACCAAAGCACCTCAGATAGCACCTTTGAAACCCACAAAACCTACCAGTGAGAAGGACAATGTACTCACACCAAACAGACTGTAGCAGTTCAAGAAGACAGCTCACTACCACCTTCTCGAAGGCAATAAGTGCTGACCCAGCCAGTAAAGCCCACTTCCGGTGAATGAATAAAAGCGAATTCATCAGATCTCTTGAAAAATACTTATAAGCTTAATTCTACAACAGTGCCTCAGGAAGATTATTCACCACACCAGGGTCTCTACACTGAGTTAACAATGAGATTGGATGGAGCTGAATTTTCCTCTTCATAGTGGACAAATGACACAATTTATTGCCCCATAAATTCTACTCAATGTCTAAAATCCTATTTCCAATCCTGCTCAGCTAAACAGAATTGTTACATTCTGATCAATTCTACCTTGGAAACTCCTGCGCAGGAGCCCCCGTTACTTTGCATTGGAGATCATTTCAGGAAGTCTCACAACCAACAGGAGAGAGGATCATCACTGAAATCCCCCTTCTTACAACGATAACCATCTGTGCTATCTTCTGTAATTTAAATGTCCTGCAGCCACTTGTGCAGCTATTGTGAAAGGATAAGTACATAAGGTAAGTACGGAGGTATGATGGCAGATGAGTGTGGCATTAGGATGCCAGGTAATTGAAGGGATAGGGTGTCATGTGGGTGAGTTGATAGATGTCATTTAAATGGTTGTGTGCATTTGATTGATTAAGTTGGTTGGCCTAGAGGAATTCAGGTTGAGTAGGATCAGGTGAGAAAGTTGTTGGATTGGGTCGGGGAGGTTGGCGGGGTGGTGGGGGGGCAGCCGGGTAGGGGGGAGCGGAGGTGGTGGTGGTGGTGGTGGAATTGGGTCCAGTAAGGGTGATGGGATATGATGAGTCCAGCAGTCGGGGTGATGGTGCCAGGTTAGGTAAAAAATGCAGGGTTTCCCTGACTGGTGTTCTCAGAAACAGAATGTTGGGTCCAGCAGGATGGAGGGAAGGGGAGTCAGGTCAGACATGATCAGGTCAGAAGGTGAGGGATGTAACGTTGGGGAGGGGTTTTGCAGTAGGGATCAGGAGTCATGGTAGAATCGGTGATGAGTTGAGAATTCTGTTCAGTCATTAGCCAGCAGTTTTTAATCTTCTTACGTTTCCTGAGTAACTGATATGCTGAAGTGAATCAGTGCCTTCTGCATTCTCAAAATTTAAGGGATTTTTTTTCAAATGCTGGGAAATTCCTCATCTGAATTTTCAATTTCTCAGGCAACTCTCTCAGACTGTGCTGCAACGGGATTTCCACATTATTCCAACAATCAACTCCAGTCTCTGTTGCAGAAATGACTGTCTCCCCATTGAAATCTCTCGGAATATACAGGAGTATATCTTGGTTATATTTTTGCACGGAGTTTATATGGATGTTTATACTGAAAACGACTTTGTGAGCAGGGACAAACAGCTGTGTGACTCCCTAATCAATCCTTACTAAGAGGTGCTGACCTCGGTGTTTACTCTGTTTGGGAAAGGGGTGGCATCAGCTGTAACATGGGAAACCTGGAACAGATTCCTGCGAAAGGCAGCTTGCTGAAGCATTGATAATTTACATTCCATTTTGACATCAATTGCATGGCAGTAGCCTGTGTGAGAACAACTTGAATGGACAATCCAAAGATGGAATTTGGAGGAGTTGAGAATGGATTCTAAATCCTCAGAGGCTGTGGCTTGTAATGACTGGAGGTAATGGGGAGTTAGAGATGTATTTGTACTTGTCCGATCTGCTGGCACCTTTCCAGAAT